CTGCTATTGGTCACTTGAGATATTCCAGTTCCACGGTTGTTTTGACAAATTTGAATCGGAAATCTAAAACAATAGTGTATTGGAGCTCATTAGATCTAAATATCACTAGAAATCGGCTTCTTAAGTCAACTTTTTTAAAATCGCTCTCTTGATCCGACTCACAAATACGACCGACTTAATCTGTTTGTATCAGTTTAGGAGTTACTGTTTTGGTGATAGCTGCTGAAGGTACGGGAATGACCTGAGTCTATGAAATTGAGTCTAGTTATCCTGGATTCCAGGTCTTACGTTAAAATTCATGTTGAAACGAAGCGTCGGCGCCTCCACTACACATTTTTGTGGTGGTTAAAGCAATTACACTTGACAAGTTGCCTTTTTAATCACTTATTGTTCCATTATAGATCAAGGAGTATCAGTGGTTACGGGCGCTCATTTTGCATGTTCAATGTCTCGAGCCGTTGAGGGTACAAGATTTTAGTGTGCTTTTTGTTTCGATTGCGCTTATAAATTGATTGATCACAAACTTTCCTCTTTTTGGACACTAGAGAACAATCTCAAGCAAAAATGATAACATATTAATCAGTGGCTGCAGGTTTACGTCAGACTTTTGAAATGAGTCATCCATCATCAGATAGTTATTGAAGATCATTTCACAAAAAAATAGGGAAAAAAATCGGAATCAACACACCGAAACCAGTTTGCTGACCTACCAATCTGATGACTAACTTTTTTTTAAAATCTAAGGCTCGAGCGCCATTTCGCTAAAATTCAGGCCAACTAAATTCTCAACTAAATTCATAAGGATCTCGAACAGACGTTACGAATCTGTTGACAAACTAGCTGAAATATGCATACCGATCTTGAAAGCATGAAAAAAGCTGTATTTCAAATGAAGCGCAACGAAGTAAGTGCTACAGAATGCGATATGAGCATGTTGCATTCGAAGTATTTTTAGCTGTACCAAGACGTTTAACGCCAAACAATATAATGCGTGATGGATGCGTGCAAAGCAATCTACCGAATCCGTGTGCAGCTGATATTTGCTATCATAAGAATTACAGAACATTCGATGGATCATGCAACAATCTCAGAGATTCACTGAAGGTGATCATAGCTATCAGTTGCTTTGTTATTATCGTAATATGTGAATGCGCTAATTGCACAAAAACACATTCAACAAATTGCATACCATCATTTCTGAGATTTTCAAAGTTTATGCGAAGATCGGCTATCAAAGCTACCTCAGTTCTCCATTACCTTATCAGTAGCTCACCAATAGTGATCACTTATTGATTATTCGATCAAATCCTTATTACCTACTAAAAAATCACGACTTTAATTCAAATCTACTCAGCTGTATAAGAATTGCTGTAATGAAATTTGGACACAACTCAAGCTGAAAAAAAATTTTAAGAGCTCACTAGAAGTCTGTCCCTCCTTGGTTCCAACAAATCAATCAGGCGCTTTCTTTGAATTATATCGAAAGGACATGGGGAAATTAGTTACTCTTGACGGCTATCCGAGCTCAAGACTAAACATTCCGTGAATTAGTTACTTGATTAGCTCACAATACACCTTAGTTACGTGAATTAGCTCAC